AGTCAAGGTTGTTTTGATTATAGCAGGAGTAATAGTTCCAGATAAGAAGCAAGCATAAAAGTTTTGCTATCATTAAGATTAATAGAACTTTTTACTAAAGGTTGGTAATATAATGCACTCTAAGCTACAAAAAAAAAAGATTATAAAGAAATAAATTTTATATAAGAAAGGATTTTGTATTGTAAATACTTGTCCTGGAAGGAAATGACTGGTTGTTTAAAGGAAGGATGTTTAAGACAAGTCGTAAAGTTGAAGTGTGTTTTAAGAGGATCTGTGAAAGTCATGAAAAAATTTAATAAAGAAAAGGAAATGTCAAAATTAATGCTAAAGTTATTTTAGCCACCCAATAATGTATTTCTCCCAATCATATTGCAAGTAATAAAGATGGCCTAGACTAAATTTCTTCTCTAATGGCAAGTCAAGAGGGAAATGGATGCATTTCTCAAGGAAAGTCTTACTTTTATATTAACATTTCTGGTAATGTACAGCGACATCTAGTGCAGGCAATCCGGTATTGCAATCCATTGGTGTAACAGGTACCAAACTCTGCTATCAGTTAAGGTCTATAAGACCCCCACTAACGGTGGTAATCTTAATGCTTATATTCTAACCCTATATTTTAAATCTTCTTGTAAGATTTCTCTCTTTTCGCCTAGAAGCAATCAAACTCCAAATGGTGCTATGAGCAGAGCCAAACATGGACATTTTTCCAAGAACCATGAAATCAACCTCAGGAGAAGGCCCAGCTGCTGGTCCTCCACATGACACCCCTTTTCAGTGGGAAGTAGCCAAAAAGAATCATCGTTCAACACCCCCTAAGAGTAGTTAAATTTGCTTATCTTGGGGGAAATAATACAGGAGTTATTAAGAAATAATTTTTAGGCAGATAGAGAGGGTAAATGAAGTTCTTGGTAAGGCTTTTTCTTTTAATAAAAGCAACCCCCAAACCATTTCTTTTCTAACAGAAAAACGGCTTGAAGGGCCAAGCTGGCAAGCTTAGAGTTCCTCATGCCCGTTAACCCCCATGTTGTTAGGTGAACATTTTCTAGCCTCGTTCAGACAGAATGGACAAAGAGCAGGCATCTGTCTTTGTTGGCCAGCTTCGTTAATGAGATGGGATTAGACATGTTTCTTCTTCAGCTCCTCACCAGACTTACAGACTCTGACCAATGAAAATGGTTTTAATTATGATTTGCTTTCTATTCATTGTCTTTTGGATTCCTACCTATGCTGATTTTCATAGTCTTGAAAGTGTGTATTTTTCTTCAAAACATTTTTTTAATTTCCAACTTTTATTTCAAGTTCAGGGGTACACATGCAGGATGTGCAGACTTGTTGCATAGGTAAACGTGTGCCACAGTAGCTTGCTGCAAAGATCATCCCGTCACCCAGGTATTAAACGAGCATCCATTAGCAATTCTTCCTAATGCTCTCCCTTCTCCCCCTGCACCCTCCAGCAGACCCCAGTGTGTGTTGTTCTCCCCCTACATGTTCATGTGTTCTCATCATTTACCTCCCACTTACAAGTGAGAGCACGTGGTATTTGGTTTTCTGTTCCTGCGTTAGTTTGCTAAGGATAATGGTCTCCACCTTCATCCATGTCCCTGTAAGAAACATGATCTCGTTTCTTTTTATAGCTGTATAGTATTCCATGGTATATATGTACCACATTTTCTTCATCCCGTCCATCATTGATGGGGATTTATGTTGATTCCATGTTTTTGCTATTGTGAACAGTACTGCAATGAACATATGAGGGCATATATCTTTTAATACAATGATTATATTCCTTTGGGTATATACCCAGTAATGGGATTGCTGGGGCAAATGACATTTCTGCCTCTAGATCTTTCAGGCATCACCACACTGTCTTCCACAATGGTTGAACTAATTTACACTCCCACCAACAGTGTAAAAGTGTTCAATTTTGCTCCACAATCTTGCCAGCATCTGTTGTTTTTTGATTTTTTAGTAATACCCATTCTGTCTGGTGTGAGATGGTATCTCATTCTGGTTTTGATTTGCATTTCTGTAGTGATCAGTGATATTGAGTTTTTTTCATGTTTGTTGGTCACATGTATGTCTTCTGTTGAGAAGTGTCTATTCATGTTCTTTGCCCAAAAGTGTGTATTTTTGTACTTCTCTATTTGGACAAGAACAGAAGTGTCATTTTGTACATTTCTATTTGGACAATATGTGTAGGTGCAACATTTACAACCCCATTGTACAATTTGACACTATTGACCACAATAATATGTCAGCAGGGTAGCCTGACAGCCCATATTTGAGGCTTTCCATTTTTAATTCTTTTTTAAACATAAGAACCGACTTTATTCTGCCTTATTTGTGCATAAGACTACCTTCAGTTTCATCTGACAACAAACCAAAGACTAGATGTTTTCTTTCAGATTACCAACTCTCCCAGGAGAGAAGTAGTCAAACTTATAATTGCTAAAAATCATAAAATGAAAAGGAAGCTCCACAAAAGGGAAGAGGGAAAGTATAGGAATTAGACGTGGGGATTTCTGTTCTCTATTACTTTGGAAACCATGGTGACTGGGAGCTGTGATTTAACCATATAATATGCCAGTATAAACTTAGAAGGATCTGGGAAAGAATAAATTTCTCTGGCCAGGCGTGGTGGCTCATGCCTGTAATCCCAGCACTTGGGGAGGCTGAGGTGGGCAGATTGCTTGAGCTCAGGAGTTGGAGAGCTCAGGAGTTTGAGACCAGCCTGGGCAATATGGCGAAACCCCATCTCTACAGGAAATACAAAAATTAGCTGGGTGTGGTGGCGCAAGCCTCTAGTCCCAGCTACTTGGGAGGCTGAGGTGGGAGGATCTCTTAAGCCTGGGAGGTGGAGGCTGCAGTGAGCTACGGCCACTGCACTCCAGTCAGGGTTTTCTCTAAACCATAATACAATCGGCAGATTAGTTGCCCGATGGAAATGACCTCCTGCATGGTCTAGGCTTGTTTCAAATGCTCTACCATCACTGGGTTTGGGATTGCAATCCTCAAAACTTCTGGGAAATCTGAAAATGAAGTTACAAATTAAATCATAGGTCTCCAAGAAGCCTGGAATTTTGATACATTCATCGGGGTTTTCTTCCGCCCGCCCAAGTGTATATTCCGTGGGCTGCGTCTGTTGGGAATAAGAGCAAGTCCATTCTCATATCTTTGTGAATCTGCTTTCCTGCCCGTAAACACACTGACATGGTTCTGCAAAGCTGCCTTTCTCTGGAAGAGCATTTTGCTTTTGTTAATGAGGCAGAAAATCGATCTCATATTGTTGAGTAATCACACCCTTCCTAGCACTTGTTTTTTACAAGCCTACATTGTTGAAATGATGGATGTGTTCCTAAAAAGTTGTGTATCAACTTAATTTTTAAACTTTTAATTGAATTTTATATTAGTGGCAAACACTATTTCAAGAAACCCTCTAGGCCAGGCGCGGTGGCTCACGCCTGTAATCCCAGAGCTTTGGGAGGCGGAGGTGGGCGGATCACCTGAGGTCAGGAGTTCTAGACCAGCCTAGTCAACATGGCGAAACCCTGTTTCTACTAAAAACAATACAAAAATTAGCCAGGCATGGCAGTGTTCACCTGTAATCCCAGCTACTCGGGAGGCTGAGGCGCAAGAATCCCTTGAACCCAGGAGGCGGAGGTTGCGGTGAGCCAAGATCGCACCACTGCACTACAGCCTGGGTGACAGAACGAAACTCCATCTCAGATAAAAAAAAAAAAAAAAAAAAAAAATTTGAAACAAGCCTATAATAAATTATTTGTAACATGAACAGAATGAACAGATCCTCCCCACAACTGGTATTTTTTGTCTGAGTGGACCTTTCTTAAAGGATTTTCTTAAATGGAATTATTTCAGATCATCGATTACTTAGATATGTAGCTATATTAGGTCACAAGATTAAGATTGTGTACTTACAATTATAAAACTTAACAATGAATCCCAACTTGACCTCAAGAGACTATATCATATAATGCTATATTAACATTACATATTTATTGGCTGGGTGCGGTGGATCACGCCTGTAATCCCAGCACTTTGGGAGGCCTAGGTGGGTGGATCACGAGGTCAGGAGTTCAAGATCAGCCTGGCTGAGATGGTGAAACCCCGTCTCTACTAAAAAAACAAAAAATTAGCCGAGCTTGGTGGTGGGTGGCTGTAATCCCAACTACTCGGGAGGCTGAGGCAGAGAATTGCTTGAACTCGCGAGGCAGAAGTTGCAGTGAGCCGAGATCGCACTCCAGCCCGGGCAACAGAGAGAAACTCTGTCTCAAAAATAAATAAAATAAAATAAAATACATATTTATTATGTTTTATATTGTTATATAAAAAGTCGTGTTTTTTTGTTTTTGTTTGTTTGGTTTTTTTTTTTTTTGAGACAGAGTCTTGCTCTGTCACCCAGGCTAGACGGCAGTGGCGCGATCTCGGCTCACTGCAAGCTCCACCTCCCGGGATCAAGCGATTCTCGTGCCTCAGCCTCCCAAGTAGCTGGAATTCCAGGTGAGCACCACCACGCCCAGCTAATTTTTTGTATTTTTAGTACAGACGAGGTAAAAAGTAGAAAATATTTTATAAAAATATATTTGTGCAAAGTAGAACATATATAAAAACATACTAAAGTAGAAAGGAGAAAAAAATTCATTTATTTTTTCCTAGGCATTTTAAATTTGGATTATAAAAATCATCTTAGAAAAATCATTAATGCTCTTTTACAAAATAACCGGGTGAAGCAGCTAAGCCCGAGCCGCCCGCCAGCGGCCCCGCAGCAGCTCCAAGAAGGAACCAAGAGACCGACGCCTCCCCGCTGCGCGGACCCCACACCGCCACTCTGGCTCCCAGTCGGCAGCCGGCAGCGGATCCACCCCGTTCCGAGACCGTTCCGAGATCGTTGAGTAGTTTGCGATTTTGGATGATTTTTGTCCCTCTGCGCTTGCCCTCGCGCTCCCCTCCCCCCGGTTCCGGTCCCGCCCTGGCACTCGCTCTACTCTCACGGAAAGGTGGCGGTTTGTGTCCCGGGGGCAGCCGTGCCGAGAATGAACCCCAGCACCCCCAGCTACCCAACGGCCTCGCTCTACGTGGGGGACCTGCACCCCGACGTGACCGAGGCCATGCTCTATGAGAAGTTCAGCCGGGCGGGGCCCATCCTCTCCATCCGGGTCTGTAGGGACGTTATCACCCGCCGCTCCTCCAGCTACGCGTATGTGAACTTCCAGCACCCGAAGGACGCGGAGCGTGCTCTGGATACCATGAATTTTGATGTGATAAAGGGCAAGCCAGTACGCATCATGTGGTCTCAGCGTGATCCATCACTTCGCAGAAGTGGAGTGGGCAACATATTCGTTAAAAATCTGGATAAATCCATTAATAATAAAGTACTGTATGATACAGCTTCTGCTTTTGGTAACATCCTTTCATGTAAGGTGGTGTGTGATGAAAATGGTTCCAAGGGTTATGGATTTGTACACTTTGAGACACACGAAGCGGCTGAAAGAGCTATTGAAAAAATGAATGGAATGCTCCTAAATGATCGCAAAGTATTTGTTGGACGATTTAAGTCTCGTAAAGAACGAGAAGCTGAACTTGGAGCTAGGGCAAAAGAGTTCCCCAATGTTTACATCAAGAATTTTGGAGAAGACATGGACGATGAGCGCCTTAAGGATCTCTTTGGCAAGTTCGGGCCCGCCTTAAGTGTGAAAGTAATGACTGATGAAAGTGGAAAATCCAAAGGATTTGGATTTGTGAGCTTTGAAAGACATGAAGATGCACAGAAAGCTGTAGATGAGATGAATGGAAAGGAGCTCAATGGAAAACAAATTTACGTTGGTCGAGCTCAGAAAAAAGTGGAACGGCAGACGGAACTGAAGCGCAAATTTGAACAGATGAAGCAAGATAGGATCACCAGATACCAGGTTGTTAATCTTTATGTGAAAAATCTTGATGATGATATTGATGATGAACGTCTCCGGAAAGCATTTTCTCCATTTGGTACAATCACTAGTGCAAAGGTTATGATGGAAGGTGGTCGCAGCAAAGGGTTTGGTTTCGTTTGTTTCTCCTCCCCAGAAGAAGCCACTAAAGCAGTTACAGAAATGAACGGTAGAATTGTGGCCACAAAGCCATTGTATGTAGCTTTAGCTCAGCGCAAAGAAGAGCGCCAGGCGCACCTCACTAACGAGTATATGCAGAGAATGGCAAGTGTACGGGCTGTGCCCAACCCTGTAATCAACCCCTACCAGCCAGCACCTCCTTCAGGTTACTTCATGGCAGCTGTCCCACAGACTCAGAACCGTGCTGCATACTATCCTCCTAGCCAAATTGCTCAACTAAGACCAAGTCCTTGCTGGACTGCTCAGGGTGCCAGACCTCATCCATTCCAAAATAAGCCCAGTGCTATCCGCCCAGCTGCTCCTAGAGTACCATTTAGTACTATGAGACCAACTTCCTCACAGGTTCCACGAGTCATGTCAACGCAGCGTGTTGCTAACACATCAACACAGACAGTGGGTCCACGTCCTGCAGCTGCTGCTGCTGCTGCTACCCCTGCTGTGCGCACAGTTCCACGGTATAAATATGCTGCGGGAGTTCGCAATCCTCAGCAACATCTTAATGCACAGCCACAAGTTACAATGCAACAGCCTGCTGTTCATGTACAGGGTCAGGAAACTTTGACTGCTTCCATGTTGGCATCTGCCCCTCCTCAAGAGCAGAAGCAAATGTTGGGTGAACGGCTCTTTCGTCCTATTCAAGCCATGCACCCTACTCTTGCTGGTAAAATCACTGGCATGTTGTTGGAGATTGATAATTCAGAACTTCTTCATATGCTCGAGTCTTCACAGTCACTTCGTTCTAAGGTTGATGAAGCTGTAGCTGTACTACAAGCCCACCAAGTTAAAGAGGCTACCCAGAAAGCAGTTAACAGTGCCACCGGTGTTCCAACTGTTTAAAATTGATCAGAGACCACGAAAAGAACCTTGTGCTTCACTGAAGAAAAATATCTAAACATCGAGAAACTTAAATACTATGAGAAAAAAAATTGCAAATCTAAAATAAATAAAAAGTGGAAAGGAAACTTTGAACCTTATGTACCGTGCAAATGCCAGGTCTAGCAAATATGATGCTAGTGCTATATTACTTACTGATTTAAAAACAAAAAAGATTACTTAATTGATTTAAAAACAAAAAAATAGTAAAATATAAAAACAAGTTAATGTTTTGTAGACCCTGGGGAAAAGAATTTTCAGCAAAGTACAAAAATTTAAAGCATTCCTTTCTTTAATTTTTTAATTCTTTACTGTGGAATAGCTCAAAATGTCAGTTCTGTTTTAAGTAACAGAATTGATAACTGAGCAAGGAAACATAGTTTGGATTATAAAATTCTTGCTTTAATAAAAATTTCTTAAACAGTAAAAAAAAAGAAAAATAATTAATTTACTAATAGTCTTTCTTTACATTTTCTATTACTGTATCTCCCACTATATTTCAAATATGAAAATCACCTTTTCACCAGAATTTTAGGTCTTTACATATAGTGTTTATTTTTAATATTCATAAGTGAAAATATGCAATGACAAAATAGTAATTATAAATTCAGTAACATTTGTTCAAAATGGTAAGACTTATTTATTTATATTGCACTATTTTTAAGTCAAAAATAAACACATAGTTTTAAAAATCTAATTGAACAGGAGGCTAAACTTGGTTCTGATCACAGAGATAATCATTTGGTTTTAGTGTTTCTGGTAGTTGATTTTCTTCAATAATAATTGTACATAGTTATTTCTTGGTTTATCAATTTTGTAATTTATTGACTTCCTGCTGTAACAAATAGAGATATGTTTCATCTACCCCTTCCCACCATCCTCCTCCTACTCCCAATGTAATTTATCACTACTTGTAGTTTCTTTATTGGTAATATTAATTAATATAAATATTTATAATTAATGTTACACCTAGTGAATTGTATAAAAGGACAGCCCATTTGAGCATTCTCCTTTAAGATGAGGCTGTGACATTGCACTACATAGAAATATAATTATAACTATACCATATTACTTTGCAATAAACTATATAGAGAGATGGTCACTATGTAATGTGTGGGTATAGCTATACGACACATACAAACATATATAATGTGTGCATATATATAACATACACACATATATGTCATACACACACACATATATATAAAAAATACATGCTGTTTATTCATCCCGATTTTGGGGGCCTGTAGGTAAATTATGGAGAAATTAATTCTGGTTAAAGTTAAACGACTTTCATAACTCCTAAAATTAGAATGTTCATATTTGAAAAAATATAAAGATGGTTTGGGGTATATTGTTTGTTTATTTATTTATTTATTTATTTATTTATTTATTTTTGAGACGGAGTCTCGCTCTGTAGCCCAGGCTGGAGTGCAGTGGCCGGATCTCAGCTCACTGCAAGCTCCGCCTCCCAGGTCCACGCCATTCTCCTGCCTCAGCCTCCTGAGTAGCTGGGACTACAGGCGCCTGCCACCTCGCCCGGCTAGTTTTTTTTGTATTTTTTAGTAGAGACGGGGTTTCACCGTGTTAGCCAGGATGGTCTCGATCTCCTGACCTCGTGATCCACCCGTCTCGGCCTCCCAAAGTGCTGGGATTACAGGCTTGAGCCACCGCGCCCGGCCGGTTTGGGGTATATTGTTTACTCACTGACAATGTCTGAGGTATACGTGGTGTATACAGCAGGGCTTCAGTCCTCAGATGTTGCCAGTTTCCAGGTTGTTAAATACAAGTTTGCTGAAGGTCTTGTCATAAGTACCCCAATAGTTTAAATACTTTCTTCTTCTTTTTGTTTTGTTTATTTAGAGACAGGTCTTACTGTCACCCGCAGTGGAGTGCAGAGGTGCGATCTTGGCTCACTGCAATCTCTGCCTCCTGGGCTCAAGCAATTCTACCACCTCAGCCTCCCAAGTAGCTGGGACTGCAGGTGTGCGTCACCACACTAGGCTAATTTTTTGTATTTTTTGTAGAGACAGGGTTTCACCATGTTGCCCAGGCTGGTTTCGAACTCCTGAGCTCAAGGGATCTGCCCGCCTTTGCCTTCCAAAGTGCTGGGATTATAGGTGTGAGCCACCATGCCTGGCCTTTTTAAAAATGGGTTATTCTTGGCTTAGCAATCTCTTTTATTTATTTATTTATTTTTTTTGAGACACAGTCTTGCTCTGTCGCCCAGGCTGGAGTGCAGTGTGCGAGCTAGGCTCACTGCAAGCTCTGCCTCCCGGGCTCACGCCATTCTCCTGCCTCAGCCTCCCAAGTAGCTGGGACTACAAGCGCCCGCCACCACGCCTGGCTAATTTTTTTTTCTTTTTTTTTCTTTTTGTATTTTTAGTGGAGACAGGGTTTCACTGTGTAAGCCAGGATGCTCTCAATCTCCTGACCTCCTGATCCGCCCGCCTTGGCCTCCCAAAGTGCTGGGATTACAGGCGCAATCCACCGTGCCCAGTCAGCAATCTTACAATTTAACTATTGACTTCCTGCCAAATTAGATTATAAGCTTCCTTAATACAGAAACTGGGTTTGCATAGCAGACAACAAAATGCTTGTTGATTGGCCAACATCATATGTCCTGAGGAATTTCATATACTTAACACTCAAGGGCTTAAATTCTCATAACACTTCTCAGAACAGCTGAGGGAATATTGGTGTGAGTGTGCAGTGCTATTCTAGATGATGTGGGACAAACAGAAAGAAATGATCTCCAGTCAACACTCTTGAGAAATGCCCCCTGTACTAAAGGACACACATGTCCATAAGTAGCTCCCAGCCATATGGAGGGATGAGCAAAGTATGGGGGGAAGCACAACGTACCCCAGCAGAGAGATCTGGGAGGACCTTGTGCGTAAGATGGCTTGTAAGCCAAGCCTTCAAAGATGAGTAGGATTTTGATGGATAGTCAAGAAGAGAAGAGGAGTCCAAGGCCAAGGGAATTTGACCAAAGGCAGATGTTTCACCAAATTTGACAATGCATTCCCTGGAGTAGTGTTGTCTCTGAGAAGCAGCTGCTTGTTTAGAGGCTGTGTGTCCCAGCTCCTTTCTGCATCAGTACAGGGCACGTCACTAGCCCTTACCCAGGGGATGTTAGTGGGAGTGATGCGTGTCTTTCAAGGTAAGGCAGTTAAGAAACTGATGGGCTTTCCAATGTCACTTTCCCCATCCACTAGGTGAAGAACGTTGCAATTCCTTGAGAGAGGAGCCACAGGACAGAGGGAGTGTGTGTGTGTGTGTGCGTGTGTATACACACACATATATATCGAGAGAGACAAAACACTTGTTTTGTCACAGTAGTCTCAAACTCCTAGGCTCAAGCAATCTTCGCACCTCAGCCTCCCAAGTAGCTAGGACTAAAAGCACACACCACCATGCCTAGCTATTTTATTTAATTTGTAGAGACAGGAGCCTTGCTATGTTGCCCAGACTGTTCTTGAACTCCTGGTCTTAAGCAATCCTTCTGCCTCAAGCCTCCCAAAGCACTAGGATTACAGGTGTGACTCACCACACCCAGCCTAGATATATTTTATTTTACATAAAATTACAATGTTTTATATAAAATGTGTACTGACTGTATTTGACTTGAATATTATTACTGTCAATTATTCAAACTTGAATTAAGTCCAACTGCCTGATCAGTGATACATTAAAATATCATAATATTTACTTATCCAGCAATCTCAACTCTTTTAGTCCCTTCAGGCTATTATAACAAAATACCATAAACTGGGTGGCTTGTAAACAGAAATTTATTTCTCACTGTTCTGGAGACCGGGAAGTCCACGATCAAGGTGCCAGCAGATTTAGCATCTGGTGCCTGGTAAGGGTCTGCTTTCTGGTTCATAGAGTCCGTCTTTTCACTGTATCCCCACATAGGGGAAGGAGTCAGCTCTACCGGGCCTCTTCTATAAGGGTATTAATCTTTTCCCCGAGGGTTTCACTCTCATGACCTGATGACTACCCAAAGACCCCACCTCTTATCATCGTATTGGGGGTTAGGACTCAGCATAGGAGCTTCTAGGAAACATAAACATTCAGTCCACTGCATCGACTACCTAATACAGAATGGAAAACGTATCATAAGCAAACAGGGCCTTTAGCCAGCTGCAATTAATAATACAAAGAGCACACATTTTCTTCCTCCTGGAACATCCAATATGCCCTCACTCAGAAACAAGCTACTCTTACTTTATATACATAGATGTAAATTTAAATATTATATATATGTAAATATATATAAATCTGACACGGTTAGTTATTTCCTTCTTATTAGAAAATCAAATAGAGAAAGAACAGAAACAAATACACTAAAAGCAGCAAGAAGCAATGCTTGGTACTCAAATATCAAGAAACAGGAAAAGAACAATATAAGTACTCAACAATAACAGCATCAGCAGGCCAGGCGGGGTGGCTCACGCCAGTAATCCTAGCACTTTGAGAGGTCAGGGCGGGCAGATCCCTTGAGCCCAGGAGTTCGAGACCAGCCTGGCCAACATGGCGAAACCCTGTCTCTACCAAAAAATACATATATACAAAAATGGAACAAATATCAGTGACAATGGCAACTCTGAGTCCACAGGAGAAAATGAGATTGTCCTCAGTTTATTGTCACTAAAAAAGCATGCAAGCAGGCAACACCATGTAGACATATCTTTCCCCAAAGAAAACTTTTAAAGAAGTTTTCTCCTTAAGGTGATAATAAACTTTCTTTATGTGGAAACCTCCTTTTCCTAGGAATGCTGTCAACATGAAACATTATTGAGGTTTATTCCAGAAATGCAAAGTTAGTTAACATTTAAAAATCAATCAATGTAATTCATCATATTAATCGAATAAAAGAGAAAACCCATATGGTCATCTCAGTAATATTAAAAAACTATTTCATAAAATTTGAGGTCTAGTCATAAAATGCAAAAGCTCAGTAAACTAGGAATAAAGTATATTTACAAAATATCTAGAATAACATCATGTTGTTCTAATGGTGAAATATTGAATGTTTTCCCTGTCAAGGAATAAGAAAAGAAAATCCATGATCAACATTTCTATTCAACATTGGACTAAAAAACCTAACCAGTACAACAGGCAAGAAAGACAAATTAAAGCATAAAGACAGGAAAGAAAAAGTAAGCTGTCATTATTCATAAATGACATGAGTGCATACACAGAAAAGCCCAAAGAATCTATTAATAAATTGAAAGGATGAGTGAACTTAGTAGGTCACCAGATTCAAGGTCAATATACTGAAAATCAATTGTATTTCTACATACACAAACCAATTTATATATAAAATTTAAAAACCAATATCAATATAATCCCTTTAGAAAATAGTTTCATATTTTCTTAAAAAGTTAAACCTATACATACCAGAAGATCCAGCATTTTGCTCTTGGGGTTTTACCAAGAGGAAAAAAAAACGTATGTTTATATAAAGAGTTGTACAAACGTTCATAGCAGCTTCATTTGTAATATCCCCAAACTGAAAACAACCCAGTGCCCATTGAAAGGCTAAACAAATTGTGAGGTAGTGACACAGTAGAACACTACCAGGCAATGAAAAGACTGAACTAGCGATATGTACAAAAACACAGAGAAGTCTCAGAATAATTATGCTGAGTGGGAAAAAACCCAAGCCAAAGACAAGAGTACATAAAAATTCTGGAAAAGTTCAGACTAATCTATAATGTTAGAAAGGAGATGAGTGGTTGCTGGAGGGTGGGAAGGTCAAGTCAGGCAGAGAGGATTTCACAGAGGCAGGAGAAAACTTTTGAAAGTGATATGTTTGGTTGTTTGTTTGTTTGTTTATTTTGAGACAGAGTCTCGCTCTGTCACCCAGACTGGAATGCAGTGGCGTAATCTCAGCTCACTGCAACCTCCACCTTTGGGGTTCAAGTGATTCTCCTGCCTCAGCCTCCTGAGTGGCTGGGACTACAGGTGCCCACCACTACGCCTGGTTAATTTCTGTATTTTTAGTAGAGATGGGATTTCACCATGTTGGCCAAGCTGGTCTCAAACTGACCTCAGGTGATCTGCCCACCTCGGCCTCTCAAAG